AGGGCACGAACCCGTGTGCCCTGCATCGGCAGGGAGACTCTCAATCACTGCGCCACCAGGGAAGCCCAAGCAGCTGGTTCTTAACAGCCCTGGATTTGTGGCAGCAGCGACAGGATCTCTTTCCATGGTTGCATCGTCGTAATTATATTCCTTATGGATCACAAGTTTGGGGTTAAAGCGATGTTACATTTGTAATGTCTACAGGGTAGCATTTTAAGGTATGTTGGGAAACATCGAAAGGTAACATGTGTAGCCGATGCATTTACTGTCATTAGTTAACCAAGCAGCCCTGGTGCCTCTTTCAGCTCCCTGACCCACATTTCATCCACGCTCTGCTGTTTTTCTCCTGCAGGGTTATTTCCTGAGTAAAGCCCAGAGCTTATGAGTCCCCCAGCAGAGAGCTCTGTTCTGACCTCCCTAAACAGGCAGTTTTACCTGCTGGGCTAGTGCTTTTCTGCTTCCTAGTCAATCTGTTAAGATTTTAGCAGGAGATTCTTGGATACCTTTTCACAAAACATATGGGAGATTGTAATTACTTTGGCCTGGTACATTTTTAGAACTGAGAGAGCAAGGAAGAGGTGCAAATCTTCTGTTCATAAATAACCAAATCTGTGGGCACTTTAAAAGGCATTCTAGGCAGCAGGAGAATTTATGTGCCACATTTCACCCTTGGCACACTTTACAAATGAATTGTTCAAAGAGAAATTATATTAGGACAAATAGAAATGACGACCAAGACCAGATGTGGATTTTTAGTTAATATTTATGCAAACACCCAAAGGAAAGATAGTACTCCACAATAAACGAAAAATGTCTTAGGCAAATAAGGAAATCTTTACCCCAAGGAACTGGCGCTGCAAAGGGGTGAATTGTACAACAAAGGGCTGGAAATGCAGAACAAATGCAGGGTAGGTGGGGGCAACTATAAAAAATAATTCACTGAGGAAGTGGTGAGGTAGCAGATGTGTGGAACCTGCTTGGGGAAAATAAAGGCTTAGCACTTTTTTTGGACAGGCTGGTGTCTAAGGTTTCTACCAACTCAACTCAGTCAGCCTAATTTCCTTCATCTGTGGAGAGAAACAGTAGCTTTAAATAGAATATATATGTGTGTGTGTATATATATATATCTTTTTTTAATTTTTAAAATACATACATATATATATATATATATATATATATTTCAAAACCCAGGCAGCAATCTCACAATGGGTAAGTATACCTTAATAAATTAAATAGCAATGTCCTCAGGTTTGAAATGATCTGCAAGGAGAGTGATGACATCTTTACATCTTTAATCTGATTTGCCCCCCAAAGTTGTTCAAGGAAGGTCAAAAATGCAGGCATTGGCTGCTTCTCAGCCCTTGGAGAGCAGTGTGAAAGAGACTAAGGCTTAATGCCCTGGAAGAATATTGAGACCCACGTTAAATTATAGTAGGAAAATTTGTTAAAAGCAACTGGATTTCTCAAACAGCTGGATTTTCAGCCTTCCATTCATCAGGGATGGCAAGACATGCCACTTTGCGGCATTTCTCAATCTCCTGTGCTTCTAATTCAGAGGAGTTGGGGGGTGGGGGGAAGAGAAAAGGAGGAGGTGAGGGAGGAGTGTAGCAAATATTTCTTTAAATCTGTTGGCTCCTTGAGAAAGAAGACAGCTCTGGAAAATGCTTACAAGCTTTCAGCCGACTGAACCCACGTGTCTCTCATGCTTTCTTGCCTCTGAGTCCTTCCTCTTAATTACTAAAGGGAGCCTGACTCCACACCACTCCCACTTTCCTGAAGAGTCAATGTGTTCTTAAGAAGTTTTAACCTACTTCCTCCCTTGCTCCTTTGTTAGTACTTTACTATCTTTAACATTGACAGTTTATCTGTTTACCCTATTCTCTCATGATGAAAATTCGTGGATTTTCAGTGGTTCTACAGTTTGTGCTGAGCACATTTACTTGTTCATTAACTGTGAACTTTTTTTTTCTTCTACCTGTCCAGATGTTTATAGGTGCTGGGCATTACATGGAAAACAAGACTGATAAGGTCCCTGGCCTCTTGGGACCACAATTCTGGTGGTGATTCCAGATACTAATGTGTACTATGAAGAAAATAATGCAGCCTGATGGGATAGAGATTGCTGGGGGAGAGGCTACTTCCTAAAATGTGGGCTGGAAAAGCCTTCCTGTGATGACCTTTGAACTAAGACTTGAATGCTGAGAAGGAGCTGGAGAAGGTCTGGCTAGAAGGCATTCCAGAGGGGGGGGGGGGGGGGGGGGGGGGAGAAAAATGTAGATTCCGGAGGAGCAGGACGTCTCTGTGGCTGGAACACAGGAGCAGAGGGAGACGGGCGAGTCATTGGGCCAGATGAAGGGCCGGCTAGCTGTGGTAAGGATTCGAGTTTTATTTTATGTATAACAGGAAATCATTGAACATTTTCTTTTAGCAGGGAGATCACAGGGTTTCAAAAGAATCCTCTGTCTAATACCTGAAGTTATGACTGGCGAAGGGTGAGAATTGCAGGAGTAGAAGTAAGGAGAGCACTTA